AATTTAACTTTTTGATTATAATAAATTACAAAGTAATTATACAAATAACTTTATTAGAATATAAAAAGAAAGTATATAAATAAAATTAAAGATGTTTTTAAAAAAAAATAGACAAAAAAAAAAATTTTTTTTTAAATATTGTTTAATTTGATTGGTTGACTCGAATTTTATCAGGTCGGGTCATAAGCTTGATCTAACCTGATGTTGACCTGAAAATTTATCTACCCGACCTGGATTTTTCAGGTCAGGTCAGGTCAGGTCACAGGTTGACCTGACCTGATTCAGAGTTCTAAATGTTATAATACTATATAAATTAGTAAAATTCTATTAAATACCATATAAAAATTTTGCGAAATTGCGAAACCTGCAAAATGTTTCACAGTTTCGCATTTTTAAAGCTTTTTGTCAAAATATTTAAACTGATTTTAATTTTACCAGTTGTCTAAACCTATAGGTTTTATTCAGCAACCTTAGTGTTACTTGTTCATATATCAATATTAAATTTGAATTATATAAAGTTACTTTGATTATGAATTATATTTAGTATTCACATACCACCTAACATATTGCTGAAAGTTTGAAAGAAACTTTAACAGAATGAAATTTACATGAAAAGCTATTTATGATTACTACTGACAATGCCATGAATATGAAGAAAGCAATTTCAGATATGAATGGAGTCAAATGGAAAGCATGTAATGTATATACTCTTTAACTTGTAATTAAAAAAGGATTGGTTCTGATAAAAGTATTGATTGCAAAGGTTAAGCATCTAATCGAATTTTTCACGCATTCTAAATAATCAGAATATTTAGAAGATATTCAAAAAAATATCTAAATGTAGATGAAAATGAAAGCTTAGAAACCAATGAAATATTGTAAGTTTTATTAAATTGAATTTTAATCTTTTAAAATAAATAAATATATAACTATTAGATTATAAACAAATGATATTATTTTGTATAATATGTATAATGATAATTTAATAAAATAAAGATATATTAATAAAAAATTTATTAAACATGATTTAATATTCAGAATTTTGAAAAAATATAATATAATATTTAATGATAATAATTTAATTTAGAATGCTAAAGACATATTAAAATACCTTTAAGTGATTAATGATATATTCACTCGTTAGAATTCTAGCTATCTTGCTTAGTCACATTTAATCTATTTAAAAAGTTGAATTAAAATTTTGCAAAATACATTTTCAAGTAATACAGATTCAGATTCAAAGAGAAATGCAAAAAGGTTAAAACAGATAATGATTTTGGACTATAAATAGGATCTTCTTACTGATTTAACAGAAATTTTATCAATATTTGCAGATATAATAGAAGATCTAAATAGAAGTAATTATATTACAGATAGTATATGTGTTCCAATATTAGTAGAAATTATTAAAACGCTTAGAACTAAATCAACTAATTTATCAGATGATCAAGACTTTAATATTGATAAATAAGAGGATGATGTATTTGAAAACAATAAAGAACAAAATCCTATGCTAAACTATGATATTAATGAGCCTGTTAGTACTTTGGCTTAATTAACAAAGTTAAGAAAATATTATATAGAAATATGAAAAAATATTATCCTACTCTTACCAGTTAACTTCTAATCTTCTCCATTCTTGATTCTCAATTTAAAAACTTTTATTTTACATCAAAAGATCAACAAACTGATACAAAACAGCATTTTTCTAAACTATTTGAATAAGAAAAAAAAATATCAAAATGAAACTAATATATTAAAACAATCTCAACTGAAACCTTTAGCAAAGAAGAGAAAAACTTTAATAATACCAAAAATAGTATAGTAGCATTTGATGAAATTGTTGAATATTATTAGTTACCTAAAATTTCTTTATATTCAGATCTCCTAGTGTGATGAAATGAAAAAAAAAAACAATTTCCAATTTTAACTCATCTTGCTCAAAAGTATTTAGGAGTTTCCGCAACATCTACTGCAAGTGAATGCTTTTTTTCTGATGCTGAAAATTTAATGACGAATAAAAGAACTCATATGAAGCTGAAATTGTTTAAAAAAATTATGTTTTTGAAAAGAAATACCTTAGTATGATAGTATTATAGTTATACAACATATTAGGCATTTGTGTTTATATAAATTTATGATAAAAGTATAAACGTTTAATCGTAAATAATTGAAGTTATAAAAATAAATAATTAAATCACATTTCTACCATTCTGTAACATTCTTTTGCAAAATAAGTTTATATGAGACAAAAGTAAAAACTGTTATTATAATGGTTAAATCAGTAGGATCCAGTTAGTATCTGGTTTGAAAATTTGTTATTGAATGTTAACTCAGATTGGAATTTTTTTAACAAATTGATCTGTTATACCCAATATCAATCTGAGTCTAAACACTAATTTTCATCATTTTCATAATTTTTTTTTTCACTAAAAATAGAAAAAAAAATTTTTATATTAAAATATACATTAAGTTCAAAAATGATAAAAATTTATAAATTAAAAAAACAAACCTTAAAAAGTCAGATTCATTTTCTTTTTGAATTCTTAGTCTATGAATGGTATCTAGTGATTAATGTAGGTATTTTTTAGTTACTTTTAATTCATTCTTTATTTTATGTTATTATTAAGAATAATTCACTTTGTATCATACATGTTTCATTAAGTTACTTTATTGCAATAAGTAAATTCCTTATTATCAGACTTTACCTCACGTCATATAGGTATCTGAAATGTCTTGTAATTACTTTGCTTGACTTTTTGAACTTAAAGGTTTAGAAACTTAGTAAAAAATGTAGAGAATTTATTTATTCTAAGTGATAAACTCAAAAGCAAGTTAGTGTAGTAATTCACAATTAATTCTAGATGATGGACACATAGAAGGGAAAAGTAATTGTTTTTCAAAGTTAATTCCTTTATTTATTACTTGAACTTGTAATAAAACTGAAACTCGCAATTAGTGATATCTGATGAAATTACCTTTCTTAATATGACGAAATTGACAAAACTGAAATGATAAAACTAGTTTTTTATTAATGACAAAATTACTTTACTTAATTGCTGAAATTATATTTAACTTGATCTAAATTCCTTGAATTAAAATACATTAAAAATATAATAATTTTATATTTATTCATAT